AAAATAATCAAACAAACTCACTAAAGGTGATAAAAAAAGAAATGAGTTTATATGAAAATGGAGGATTGAGAGGATTATATCTACAGCAGTGTTATGAGCAGCTGATGACGATACCACCGACAAGCGTGGAGCAAAGAGAGCATTTTCTTCGGCAGGGTCTATAGCCACTAAATTAGATCGCGACTAAGCGACTCGACATTAGACCCCTAATTCTCCTAAGAGCATACTTTCGAAATAAATAATAAATTAAATTATTTCAGTTTATTATTTTATTATTTATTTCGAAAGTAGATACTTTTGTGTTCTATTTAAGATTGTTTTACGTTTTTGTTTAATATTTTTGATTATTGTTTGTTTAATGTTGGTTTAATGTTTGTTTATTGTTTTTCTTATTTTTAATAAATGTATTAAACAACGAAAAAAAAATTTTTATTGTGTAAAAATCACATGTTGGAGTACAGTACGAGAATATAAAAAATTACTCCCGAAATACGATGCAATCTCTAAACCGACTAAAATAAAGATTTTCGGGACTAATCCCGGGATCCCGGGAGTACAAATTTAAATCCCGAAATCCCGAAAATGAATCCCGGTCCCGAAAAATGGAATCCCTAGTCCAAATATTAATACGTTTGATTTATTTGAATTTATCCACAGACAATGTTCTTCAGCTGCTTTAACAAATTTATTTAATTCTACATTGACTATGCATTTTTACTCATTTCTGCTGGAAAGCTATAATAAATTTGAGTGTCATCAGCGTATAAATGTGCATGACATGATTGAAGGTTAAACAATAGTTGAGAAGTATAAATGGAAAATAATAAAGGACCAAGTATAGAGCCCTGTGGTACTCCTGACTGAAGATTTAAGAAATCTGAGCTGCAATCCCCTATGCAGACTTTTTGTTGCCTACCATTTAAATACCTACTCATTAGCTCTAGTGCGTTATGAGTGAATCCAATATACTTCAAAATACTTATCATTAAGTCGTGATTGATAGTATCAAACGCTCGGCTGAAATCTAATAATATCAGAATTGTACATTTTTTGTCATCGGTAGCAGTTATTATATCATCGGTAACGTGCAGAAGAGCTGTAGTGCAGCTGTATCCTTTACGAACGCCAGATTGAACAGTGGGCAACAAAGAAAAGCGTTCAGTATATTCTTTTATTTGGACCTCGACAGCCCTCTCAAAAATTTTTGAAAGTGTTGGTAAAATACTGACTCCTCTTAGATTTTTCATTTCGGTCGGGCTTTGTTTTTTGGGTAATACCCTCACAATCGCTCTCCCCCACATTGCTGGAAAAACGTTTTCTGTCAAGCAAAAATTTATTATATGGGTAATGTAAGGCACAATGTGAGGACAGCAAAGTCTAATAAGTGTTATGTTTATATCGTCACACCCTTTTGCGTTTGTTTTAATTTCAGATATAACTTTATACACAAACAAATCATTTATTTCTATAAACTTGAAATTCTGATCAACTAATTTATTATTATTGTAAAATACAAGTAAATTATAATCTGTTTTTTTTATTTGGAATTGATTCTATAAAGAACTTATTAACTCAGCAGGTTTATGTAAATTTTCAGGGATGCTATTATTTTTATCAGGGATAAATTTATTAGATTTTAGTGTCCTCCACATTTCTTTGGAAGAAGTATTGTTAAATTGGTGAATAAAATATGCTTTCTTCTGTCTAAAAAAATCTAAGTCTCGCTGTGATTTATATTTCTTAAATCTTGTTAGCGCTTTGTTTCTTTCATGCATAATAATTTTAATGACATCTGTTAGCCTTTGCTTTAGTTACTCTAGATGTAACTAAAGGAATGTGTCTATCAAAAAGATCATTTAAACAGTTAACAAGGTTGACAAGGGGGGTAGCCATGTGTGAGTTGAGGTAATTTTAAGGTGAAGGGGGAGAAAAAGTCCTTTATATCTCACAAGGAAAGTCAATGTTTAATTATTTAACAAAACATTGAGTGCGACCGGTTTCGAAGTGTCATCACTTCATCTTCAGGCTCGCCTAGTGGAAAGGAGAATATGTGGTGTAAGGTGTGTTAACACTTAGAGCAAACGATATATAAAATAGTAAAAAAGAGAAAGTAAAGAGAAGTAAAATTTAAAATATTCAAGACTATACAAAACAAATCACATACATTAAACAGATTAAAAGATAAGGCTTATTTTAAACAACCTTGTTTTTTCAAAAAACTAACATTTTTGAAAGGAGACCTGTCAAGTTAAGGCCTGTACAGGTGGTGGCAAGTATTAACAAAAAAATTCTTGGGTAAACCCATGACAGGGTATAGGTAATAAGATGTAAACTATGAGTGAAGAAATATTTATTATATAAGATTTGGGCCATGAACCAATCACCAAGTGTATGTGATGTTGTAGGAAGAAGAAAGAAGAAGAAATGACTGGGTTAACTGTTGTGAAGCAACTGAAGAATAAAAGAAGAAAATGACGGATGTGAAATCACACAATCTAACCTAATCTTTAAACGTGCTCGTTGGTTTCTTATGGGAAAAAAATTACTTACTGAAATGTACCCCTTGCAAGAAAATATGTGAATAGAAATAAAGGGGAGGTTAAAAAGGAAGTTAGAAAGATAAATTTAGATTAGTGTTGAGAAAACAGGAGGAGTTTCTGACATTATCTGGGCATTTAAGCAACCAACAGGATTTAATTTTAAATTTCTCAATATTTCGAAGCTATTAAGAGTAAATCTATGGTAGGAACTATGTAGGATTTCGAAACCTTCAGTTGAATCGAAGTTGTGTTACGAGGGGTTATAGAGAAGTTGTTGTTAAAAATAAATTTGAAATTAATTTAAAATTAATTTCACGTAACAAATATACAAATAAAACGCACCATCATTGCAATACAAACACAACTAGAAAAATGACGTTTTGAGAAAATCGCCATTAAACATTAACTTGTCTGTATGTTTACACGAAGACACAAACATAATTTGCCATGGCTTACTTTTTGAATAGAATACATTGTTTCCTTTTGAACATTTCGTGTCAACTCAAAATGGGCATTGTAATAATTATGCGAAAAAATATTCCACATTGGTAACCCCGAAGAAAAAGTATCTAGTGTATGGAAAATGGCTACCCTTCCTAGAACACTTTTTTTTTTTAATGTAACAGCCAGTTGGAAGAACGATCAATAAATATTTATAGATTCATTAAACCTTCTATAGTTAATGGAAGATTCTAACGTCGTAGAGCTGGCTACAGGATCGCGTTCGCCGCGTTATAATGTTATTTAGATTGCTTACCCATGTACCCATATGTAAATAAGACTACGAAAAGCGGGTCACACAATGCACGCTGCTTTATGCCCTTTCCAACTGCTCACTGAACAGAACTGTAGAGAGATGTAACCACACTATATTGGACAGTTGGACACTCATCTTTTATCCTGAATAATGTTAATGTTATTAAAATTTTATTAAATTGACTATATTTTTAACATTTTAAAGTTTGTTGCAATTTCTTTTGACAATAATTACAATGTCTTAATTATGGTTTATTTCAGTGATGAATGAGAATGAGTTGGTTAACTAAAAATAAAATTAATGAGTATATATTTTTTTTAGTTTTTTATAATTTTTATAGATTTTTATAAATTTTTATGGATGTTTATAGACTTTTTATAAATTTTTATAGATTTTTATAAAAATAAACATTTGGTTTTAATGTTCCGAAAACTTATCGGTTAAAGATTCGAAAACTCTAAATCCCCAAATAAATCTCAAAATTGCCCCTACGAAAAATAATGAAAACTATTTTTGGACCCATAAAGTAAAATTAAAAATAAATAAAAATGTTTAAAAAGGTATAAAAGTGTATAAAAATGTATAAAAATGTATAAATATGTATAAAAATGTATAAAAATGTATAAAAATGTATAAAAATGTATAAAAATATATAAAAATGTATAAAAATGTATAAAAAGTATAAAAACGTATACAAATGTATAAAAAGCTATAAAAATATAAAAAGTATGTATAAAACGTATAAGAACATACAAAAACGTATAAAAACATATAAAAGTGTATAAAAATGTATATAATTGTATAAAAATGTATAAAAAATTTGTAAAAACGTATAAAAGTATAAAAATGTACAAAAATGTATAAAAATATATAAGAAATGTGTAAAAATGTATAAAATTGTATCAAATTGTATAAATATCTGTTAACATCTATAAAACTCCATAAAACTATAAAAATTTATAAACATCTATAAAAATTTATAAAAATCTAGAAAAATCTATATAAATCCATAAAAATCCATAAAAATTCATAAAAATCCATAAAAATCCATAAAAATCCATAAAAATCTATAAAAATCTATAAATCTATAAAAATCTATAAAAATTTATAAAAATCTATACAAATCTATAAAAAATCCATAAAAATGTATATTTTTGCGTAGAATCGATAAATAATAGCATTTTTATTTATATTTGAACCACATTAAAAAAAAAATTAATCAAACTAATGAAACTAATTTAATTGCAAGTATTAAAACAGCGGAGCTGAGGACAATCAAATCTTTTCATGTTTATTTGATTTTATAAATTAGTAAAATTAATAAATTATTTTAAAATTAGTTTTGTCTGAATAACCTAAAATAATTTTTTAAATTTGTAGATTTTCGTTAGTGGGTCGTAGAAAAAATATACTGTACAACTCGAGTGGATTGTCCATATCCACTCTTTATTTATTCAATAAGGCATAAAAAGCCAAATTTTGATTGAAATTTTATAGTCAGATTTCCTGATTTTTCATTTGTTTATAAAATTATTTTGTGATCTTAGGAAAAATATTTTACATCACTTGTGTAAAAGTGATTTTTCGTAGTCGGCTTATTCCACCCACTCGTGTGAAAAATATCTCTTTCCACACTCGTAATGTAATATACTAATTTCGTTTTAAATTATCTTCCAGAATTTCAGAAATGTTTTATTTTTTAGTGTAAGCAGTAGCAATTCTGATATAACTGGACCGTTGTCAAAAACGTTATCATGGAAAATATTACCAGATCATGTCTACCACCAACAACCGCCACCTCCATGTTTAGTGTATGGGGCCACACATCTGATAAGACTGTTTGTAAAGTTGCCAGAGTTACTTATGACGACAACTATACCAGAAGAAAAGTTAAAGGTTCTGCTCAAATATTTCGATCTACTGATTGAGTAAGTAGTTAAAGAAATTTTACATATTCATTGTACATGGTGAGTAAATGAAACGGGACGATTTGGGAACGTCAATTTCATGGAATATATCTGTAATTTATGCTTGTAGAAGAAAGTTCTTCAAATGTAATATAATTCTCTATAATTCTTTTCCTATGCTAATGTCTATAAAATGGACCATATTCAAGATATATGAGAAAATGTGCAAACTTCGAAATTTGAAGATAACTCAAAAACTGAATAAGAGCAAATTTTAAATGTAAGCTTTAATCTATCCTGCGGTGAACTGAGTAAATTTTGGGCATATTCGCAACATCTAGAGGGTACTTTATAGGGTCGTTTTTCTATTTTATGGAATATATCTGTTATTTACGCTCGGTTAAGAAAATTCTTCAAATGGTCCGTATTCGATAAATTTGACAAAAAGTGCAAAATTTTAATTTTTAAGAAAATTGCGATATATTATTCTCTATTGTTAGAAGTTAAAAGAAATAACTTCAAAATTATTGTTTTTAAATGATTTATCACCCTGTATACTGTAATACCCTGTATAGCCACTTTACAAAACATGTGTTAACAATGTTTGAAATGTAATTAATTAAGGAATAAAATAAAGAACGTCTTTAACAGGCATAGTGACGGCAGCATCCTAATTCGCTGACTGTAACACGGCCAGACTGATGGGTGTTTCGTTCTCGAAACATATATCTATTTTCACTGTCGTGTGTCATTTTCTGTGGAAAAAGTTAAAACGTAACCTACATGCCAAGGTCCAATATACGCTTTCATGGCCCCAAGTTTCAAGATATTTTCACGTTAACACGTTGAACACCGACGACTAGTTAACAAGTCATAGAGGTTTTTCCCTATGACCCAAGACTAGTTTACTAGTCGTTATTTGTATGCATCACTAAGGAAGTTTTGTAAAGTTGGAGCACGTTTTGGGGCTTGAATTTTATGCTTAGTACCCACTGTTGGATCCCTATGATATCAGGACTAGTCTACAAGTCTTCTGTGCAGTTATGCTATTCATTAAAAGATGTCGCCCGGATCAGTGCCGAAATACAGTATAAGAACGTAAATGAACTAATTTACGGTCATGTTATTTAGTCTGTGACAGTCTTGTTCTAGGAAACTGTTCGTGGGTATTGTGTGGCAGTTTTAATAATATTTACATAAGATGGATGATACAAATTTACCAGGGTAAGTCGCAGATTTACGTTATAAATAAAAACGTGTAATAAAGTATTATTTTTTGCAGATGTAGTAAAACTTCCAAAATAATTGCAAGGTCAAATCGTAAAAGGCAACTCACTGAAAAAGAATTGCAGTATTTTGCTGATCATCTAAATGAAGAAAAAAGCGATGTTGAAGATGAAGATCCTTTTTCAAACGACGACTCTCTAAAGGATAAGGACTTCGAACCAAGTGATAAAGATAGTGAAAGCAGCGATTTATATGAAGATGAATTTCAAACTGAAGTTAATTCTGTAGAAAGTGAGGATCATTATTTGTCAAATGATGAGAATGATAATGATGAATTACCTGAGGAACAGGAGTGGAAATCTGACGATGAAGATCCTGTAGACATACCATTCTCAGCTACTGCTGGTATAGATATAAATTTAGAGAAGAACTCTAAACCTATAGATTTCTTTCATCTTTTATTTTCGAATGAGATTATTGACATCGTTGTACGAGAAACTAATCGGAGAGCCCAAGAAAAATTAGAAAAAACACGAACAAGAATCAAGGCTAAGAAATTGAATAACTGGAAGGATTTGACAAATTGTGAAATGAAAAAATTTCTTGGGATATGTATCTTACGAGGAAACGTTCAGTTTCCTACACTGTCAACTTGTTGGAGTCGTAAATCAATCTATTATCATCCTGTTTTTGGACGGACAATGTCTAGGAACAGATTTGAAGCAATTTTACAGAATTTGAGATTTGTCGACCATGCAACTATAGATGCAGACGACCGCTTGCACAAAGTCAGACCGATAATAGAACATCTTAGGGAAAATATAAAAAAAACGATTATTCCCGAAAGAAACCTTTCGTTAGATGAATCTATGATTCCCTGGCGAGGTAGACTGGCCTTCAGGCAATATATACAGAATAAAAGCCATAAGTATGGCATTAAAGTGTATGTGCTTACCACACATGATGGATTTGTGTTAAATTTTATTATATATACAGGAAAGGGAACATTAGTTACTAATGAATCCACACACACCGAACAAGTAGTGAAAGAGCTAATGAAAGATTATGTAGGAGAAGTTTACTGGCTTTTTATGGATAATTTTTATAATAGCGTGAAATTGGCCAAAGACTTGATCAAGCGTAAAACATATGTAACTGGAACACTAAGGGAGAACAGAAAAGGAAATCCTAAAGCACTATTCAAGACCAAGCTTAGAAAAGGCGAAGCAGTCTTCAAACGAAAAGGCCCAGTTTTGGTGACTTTCTGGAAAGATAAAAGATGTGTTCGAATGATAAGTACAGGGCACAAGCATTCAATGGTTGAGGTGCAAAATAGAAGGGGAAACAAAGTGAAGCCACAGTGTGTTATTGATTATAACAAATATATGTCTGGGATAGATCGCTCCGACCAAATGATGGCCTATTATTCATCACCCCGAAAAACTATAAGATGGTATAGAAAAATTTTCTTCCATCTCATAGACATATCGATATGGAATGCCCATTACTTATACCGTAAAACAAAAGACGATAAATGTAGATTGTTATCTTTCCGGGAAAATATAGTTACTGCCCTAATTGGTGATGATGCTGCCACAGACCAGAAAGAACAAGTCCAAAATGACAATGACTTAGTTCAGCATTACATGGAACCCATACCAGACACGAAAAAAAATAAAAATGTAATGAGGAGGTGCAAAAATTGCACAAAAAAATCCATAAGGAAACAGTCGAGGTATATGTGTCCTTTGTGTCCAGAATCACCAAGTCTTTGCGTTTACCCCTGCTTCATGGAATGGCACAAAAAATAAAATTTATTTTGGTAGAATTGACATAAATATTTTTTATATACTTAGGATTTCTTTTATTTATAATTTTCTTATGTGAATTTTTTTATTATTGTTTACGCTTTCTCTGTTACAAATGCATTAAATTATGTGTTCTTTATCGACTGTTTTTTATTAAATAAAAAGTATTTTCAAACTCATCATGTTTCATTAAATATAACAGAGACTAGTTTACTAGTCATCGGGGTATTTCATTGGAATTCCTTTGCATACCCCGACGACCAGTTAACTAGTCTCTTTCAAAATGGCGTTGAATTTACAAAAAAACATTTTTATAAACAAATTACATCAAATACCAAAGTCAGATCATCATTAAATTTGATTTCCTTCGTTGGGGTGCAGGGCAGTACCAGAAAATTTGCGTCGGTGTTCAACGTGTTAAGCGTGTTTTTAATAAAAAAATGTCACGATTTACGTGTTATTTATAATTATCGGACCAATTATGTCCCGGGGATTGAATAACAAAGTATATGAATCCAAGTCTAAATCATGTAAACACTATTTAGCTTTAAACTTGGCTTCGTAGCCCTTAATTGTATAAGGGTTCTACTCTTTATATCATTTATAGTACGGGATCCGGCTGCGAAATTAGTACATTCATAATGTAGTTGATCGAAATCTAATTTCGACGTACTTTTATAGCAAGGAGAATCCACTTTTCAGTAGGTGCCAATTAAAAATTGCCCGCTAGTATTTTTAATTAAAATAATATTAATTGAGTTTTCGGGAAACATTTCGTTTACATCTTACGGAAATAAATCCTACTCCACTTCACAACAATGTAATTGAAAACTTTAAAAAGGTACAGTTGCTGTTGATCGCTTAGTCGCAACCTCGTCGCAGCCAGGTGTAAACAGGTATAACTTTGTCTAATTTTTTCGTTCATGACGTATATTCATTCCAATTGTGCCATATTATAGCTAATTTTTTTCTGTGCTTAATGTAATAGAGCTGCCTATATAAAAAAAAACCGCAAATAAAAGGTTCCTGCCGTTAAAGATGCTAGGCATTGTAAATAAAGTGACAGAGAGTGAGCGGGTAATGCTACTTGTCCGACAAAGATGTTAAATGCCGGCTGTACGCGCTTTTTAAGCTATTGCGCATGCTTCGATAGATAGGGTTCTCAACCAACGGTCTAAGTAGTAGTAAAAACGACTTTATTTAACTACTCCAAAAAATAAAAAACTGATAAAATTATAAAATCTAAAAAATATATAATAAACTTAGATGCATACTCTGAAAAAAATTTGGCTTCATTAATTTTCGTTGACTTGTATTTAAAATGATATAACATAACAAAACATTTATTTTAACGTAAAAAATCTCATTCATTTTCCAAATACAACTAAAAGAGCATATTTATGAAAAATAAAACCTTGGTTATTTAGGTCAAAAAAATTTTTATTATGTAGGCTGTGTTTGAGCTAATGTTTGTTTTGATTAATTTTTTTAATACAGCCCTGCGTTAGGAACTAATAACAGTTACAGAGTTTACATTACAATGAGTTACAGAATTATAAACTTTTCATTCAGGAAACAGAGCTGTTACATAAAAAATTATTCAATCAATTAAATAATCATAAAAGGTCATATTTTTTGGCACTTATGAAAAGTCAGATTCCTCGCAACTATCACTTTCATCGCAGCTATCGCTTTCGTCGCTCAAAGTATCAGTCTTCTTCGTCATCTGGAGATTTGTCCTGGGAATTACATTATGTGTTACGTTTTTAAAAATAAAAAAAATATACATTTTTGACACAGAAAATCTCTAAGGTTACCTACATGTTATACAGGGTGTTTCAAAATGGTATGTCATAAATTCATCCTCAGATAGAACACCAAAAAATAAGTGGATTTGGCTATATTTACCTATATCAAAAACTGGCTCCCAACAAAGTTACAGGGTGTTAAATTAACATTTAGAAAAACGTTTTTTTTTTTATAAAA